TTCATGATTGAGCAAGAGAGAGAGATGAGAGAGAAAGAGAGAGGGAGACTTTTCACAGGGTCTGGCCGTGCCATGAGCCCTTTCCTCCAGTTCTCCAGCATGCTGGGTCTTGTGCACGTCAGTCTTGGGCATATATGAGTATACCAGAGTATTTCAGGCTCACTGGGCTTAGGATCAAACCACAGTTGCCATGTAGAATCCAGTTTTTCCTGAGTAGTGCATTACCACTGCACTGTGGAATCAGTCCAGAAAAATCAGCTTTTTAAAAAAGAATCATTTATTTAATTTTATTTATTATTATTCTTCAATTTGCCACAGGGCATGTGTGCTCACCAGAAAGACACACACACACACACACACACATCACCCAAAAACACACACACACACACACACACACACACACACACACATATACATATATACATACATATACACACAGAAGAAATGTGGGAAAGCAATCCACCAGGCCTGGGTCTTAAACCACCTTCAGGCATGTGGGAGTTCAGCACCTTAACCTCCATGCTACCTGCTGCCCCCTTGGAAGAGCAGGTTTTTTTTTTTTTTTTTTTTTTTGCTATGGGGCACATAAGTTTGTCTGAGAGACAGAGGGACAGAAAGTGAGAAATCACCCCCCAGGGTGATGGCCACACTGAAATCTCTTCTCCTTCATTCTCCTCTTGGGATTTTGGGCACGCACACACACGTGCCCAGTATGAGTTATAAGCTGCAGGTCTGGAACTTGAACCACAGTCAACTACATGAGTGTCCAGTGCCATAACCATTACACTACCTACTGGACTGGGAAGAGCAGCTTTTATGGGAAAAGACTGGAAATATAATTTTTGACAAGCTGATTTTGAGGAGATATGTTAGATGTACAAATGGTGAAGAGCAGTTAAACAGGTCTGGAGTCCCAAGGGTCATGCTGGAGACGAAGGTTTGGAAAGATCAGGGAGAAGATGGTGTTGTGACTGCGGAAAGTCACCCAGGAAGGGGTTGGATGGAGTAGCTTCCGAGGACTGAGTCCTGTGCTAGGAGGTTGGGGAGCAGAGGAGGCCCCAGCTAAGGAGTCTGAGATGGAAGTGCAAACGGGGAGAAGGAGAAGTAGAGAGTGCAATCTCTTCCAGCCAAGTGAGGACAGTAAGTCACAGGTCTCCTGTTGTTGACAGCTCAAGGCAAAGATGAGAGTGAAGTCCTGATCATTGGAATCAGCAATGTCAAGGTCAAGGATGACTTTGAAACAGAGCTTTGGAGGAGTGGTTGGTTGAAATCCTGATGGGGGTAGGCCCAAGAAACAACAGGTGGAAAAGAACTGGAGGCTAGTGGCAACTGAAGGGCTTTTGCTCTTTAGGGGAGCAGGGTAGTAGAGATAAGGGAGCAGGGAAAATCAATCAGGTACTCAAAAATGGACTGTAACTACTACCACATAAGAGAAATCCCCAGAGCTGCCATGCCTGGACTCACACTGAGTTTAGCAGGATAGAGTGGCCAGGAAGTTCATGGAATCATCGGAGCTCCTAGAGCCTAGGCTAGTGATGACAAGGAGGAATGGGCATACTTCTGAATTCTTTCTTGGTGCTGATCATGATACCAAAAGACACAATCCCAAATACCATCATCTTGAATGTCAAGATCCTGGAAGATCAAAGTACGTAAGTCTAAAATTCCAAAAGATCGAAATTGTGAAAATATATTTCTGTTATTCTGTTAGCCTCTATCTGTGGCTTGGTGGTTAAGGCAAATGGATCTCACATGATCAAACTGACCAAATGGTTTGAGTCCTGGCCCGATGGCTTGGGAAACACACCAGGCACATGTGCATGCCCAAAATCCTAAAAGGAGGGAGGAATGGAGGAGAGGGAATTGCAATGTGACCATTCTCCATGGGGATATTTTCTCTTCTCCCTCTCCCTCTGTCTCTGTCTCTCTGGCAAGCACATGTGTGCCCTCTATCAAAAAAAAAAGAAGGAAAGGGACCAGCAGTTAGCATAATGGCTATGTTGCTGAACTCCCATGTAGCCGACCGCAGTTCGAGTCTTGGACCCAGTGGCTTAAAACTCACGCCGGACATGTGTGCGTGTGTGCCCAAGATCCCGAGAGGAGAATGGAGGAGAAAGGATTGCGGCGTGGCCATTCCTCATGAGGGGTGGTTTCTTGCTTTTTATCTCTCTGCCTCTCTCTGTCTGCACCCTATAGCATGCACCCTATAGCAAAAACCTCTCCAAAAAAAAAAAAAAATTAAAAAAAGAAGAAAAAAAAAGGAAGAAAGAAAATATATTAATAATTCTGGAAAAAGTTAAAGATTTTCTTGAAAAGACATTTATTTACATTTGGGCTGGCCCTGTAGCCTAGTAGTTAAGGGAACTGAATCCCACATGGCTTACTGTGGTTTGCATCTTCACCCTGGAGGCTTGAAAAGACTCACCAGCGGCATGTGTGTGTATGCTCTAAATCCCCACAGGGTAGAGAAATGGAGAAGAGATTGCAGTGTGACCATCACCCATGGAGGGGTGCTTTTCCCTCTACCTCTCTCTCTGGCAAGCATGAATGCCCTCTAACAATTAAAAAAAAATACAGGGGCCAGTGGTTATATTGCTGGATGCCCACATGACTGACCACGGTTTGAATCTTGGACCTAGTGGCTTGAAAATCATGCTGGGTGCATGTGTGTGTGTGCTCAAGATCCCCGGAGAAGAATGGAGGAGAGAGGATTGTTGTGTGGCCATCCCCCCACCGGAGGGTGATCTCTCACTTTCCCTCTTAATGTCTTAGTCTCCCCCCCACCCCCCTGCTACAACTGCATGTGCTCTAAGGCAAAAACCTCCTTAAAAAATACATTTATGGGACCAGCAGTTAGCGTAATGGCTATGTCACTGAACTCCCATGTAGTCGACTGCGGTTTGAGTCCTGGACCCCGTGGCTTAAACTCACACCAGGTGCATGTGTATGCATGTGTGCCCAAGATCCCAAGAGGAGAATGGAGGAGAAGGAATTGCGGCGTGGCCATCCCCCATGGGGGGTGACTTCTCGCTTTCTGTCTTTCTGTCTCTCTGTCTTTCTGGCAAGTACACGTGCCCTATAGCAAAAACCTCTTCAAAAAAAAAAAAACATTTATTTACATTACAATTTTTTCTTTATTCATGATAGAGTTTGCACATTAGAGTGAAAGAGAGAGAGAGATGAACACCCTCCAAAGGGTCTGGTCATATGAGATCCCTTCCTTCAGTCTTCCAGCCCATTGGATTCTGAGCACTGCTAGATATGCCCAGAGTGTTTCACACTGATAGTGGTGGGGATTCTTGCCATGTAAGATTGGCTTCTCTCTCTCTCTCTTTTTTGAAGAATTACTTATTTAATTATTTACTATTACTATTTTTAATAATAATATTAAAATAAAATGATTATTTTTGCTATAGGGCATATGTGCTCATCAGAGAGAGAAATTGCCAGGTCTGGGACTCAAACTGTAGTCAGCCATGTGGGAGTCCAGTGCCTCAACCATCATGCCACCTGCTGGTCCTGGATTGATTCCTCTTGAGCAGTGCATTATTACTGCGACACTGTGCAGCTGACCCTATTTATGTTTTCAAAAGAAAATTTATTTGAAAAATTAAAAAAAAACAGAGAACATTTCATAAGCCACTTTATACAAAAAATAGAAATATAGGTTTTTATAAGCCTAAGCACTCAGGTGTACTAACAACAATCGCACAGCTCTAACAGTTATATAAGCAGATGAACCATATTCATAAAGAAATAGGTCAAAAAGCAAAATGTATAAATGCATATCACAATGGTTGGTAATTAAGTGCACCCAGCTTTATAATCGTGGTCATCGGAAACACTGTGTCAGACAACCTCAGCTGATCAAAAACCATCATGGGTCACTACCATATATTCAGTCACCCAAACAGCCAAAATCTTGAGAAATTTTCTTTTACAGATGCAGATGTACAAAAAAGACATCTCTTCATTTTTTGAGGAAGTTTCAATGCTCTTACGTACACATACAACGCTTACACACAAAGTCAAAGTTGTGATCGTGCACTTTTATAAGACAAATTTGCAAAAGATGATTTAGACCAAATTTGAACCCTCTGAAAGTCTTTACTCAATTATACCTGCAGTAGTGGAAATGATGTAGAGGGGAGGGACCCAGCATGACAAATTGTGCAAAAATAATGCTGACAATTTAAAATAGTAGAGGAAAAATAAAAAAGAAGAAAAAAAGAAAAGAAAAAAAAGAAAACACCACCAAATGCCTTTCTCAGAATTCAATTTTCTGTCCTTCTTGCATAAGTCTTTTCTTTTTTCCAGTAGGAATTGTGGTTTTCTGAATTTCGACATCTGGGATTTCAGTTTTTCAGGGTTGTAATTTTTGGTATTTTAGACTTTAGGGATTTAGACCTTTTGAGATTTTGACATTTGGGATTGCAGTGTAGGAAATTGTCTTTTGGGATTATAGCCCAAACCTCTACATTCTGTATCAAGGGAGGTGGTACTTCCCTCTCCTGTGTCCTATGTCTGCACGTTTCAGAACATTAGAAAAACGGTACTAAGTGGGGACAAGGGAACAGCACAAAGCTGCTGGGTGATGGAAGACCTAACCGTGATCTTGAACCTCCTCCTAAAGCCAGGGCATGTAGGCCTCTTTATGCCTCTGTTTCTTCAGTTCCAAGTGTGGACGTTAAGTGAGACTACATATTTATTTTAACTCTCTACTTGGCACATTATAGGTATTCGGATTTGGGTGTCTTTATAAATCCAAATTAGGGTACGTCTGGAGAAAGCAGTGAATCTGGGAGTGGGAGGCTTTTTTTTTTTTTTTAAGCTCCCTTTACTGTGGCGATAAAAACCTAACTAAACCAAAACACGGTTACTTTGAATCAAGGAGCTGGAAAGAAGACCAAAAAGGAGGTTAGCGAAAAGATGAGAAGCAAGGCAGATGCAGACAAGGGAAAGTTGCCGATGAGATGTTGACGATGGGGGACGTCCCTCACCTCGAACCTGTTCCAGTACCGACTGTCGGCCGACTTGGTGCGCTCTCCCGGCCACCGAACCTTTCCTTGCGCTCGCACCAGCAGCCCCCGAGGTTTCTAGGAAGCGAGGGCTATTGGCAATTGCAGTCCGTCCTCACTGCCCTCCTGGTCCGCCAGGACCTCAGCAACCACCTAGGCAAGGGCAGACGCAGGAGTACCGTTTGGGTGCCGTCACCTAGCAACCGGCCGCACTCTCCGCTGCCGCGGAAGGACTACAACCCCCACAATGTACAGCGCTTGCGGCGGCGCCAAACGCCGCGCCCAAGTCACCGCCTCGCCTCAATGGCCGACGGGACTTGTAGTTCTCCGACAGAGCCGCCGCTCGCTGAGCATCCTCTGGGAAACGCACCTGCCTGTGCACTTGCCTGCCTCGCGTTCCGTGCTCGGGTCTCCGTTCGCGCCCTGTTAACCCCGGTGTGCGCGGGGGCCCCGGCCCTGCCTCCGCGTCCTTTTTGTGACTGTCCTCCCTGGTACCCCCAGACGCCCTTTACCCCCAACTCCACTGCTTGGACAGACCCTCATCGCCCTGCCCTTTCTTCCTAAGCTCCGACCAAGACGGGGGTTGCTTTTTCTCCCGTGCCTAGGCGCACTTTCCCTCCCCCTCTGCCTGCGGCTGGAACTAGCCCTCTACCTCTTCACCCTGCTCTTACCTCGCGGTCCGCCTCCGGCGGTCCTGGAGCAGACGCCCCGTTACTTCTCCTGAATACATCCCTCGTTACCTTCCTTTCCTATCCTCCCTCGGTTATCCTGGGCCGGGAATGGACCTCCTAGCCTCCGTCTACACTCTACCGCTCATTGGAGGTTTAAGGTTCTGGAGGGAACCACGGGACGGACCCTCTTTCCCCTCTGTTTTTTTTCTGTGTTCGTAGAGGATTCTCGTGCCACTGTCCGAGCCCTCCCTTCCCGAGCCTGGACTGATCGCACCTCGGCCCAGTTAGCGTCCCTATTCTTGTCCCTATCCTTGTTCAGTCCCCACTCGTGTCTTCTCGAATCCAGGGCAGGTCCTCTGCCCGCCCGCTGGGTGAGTGCGCACCGGGCCCGCAGCCTCGGTGGGACCAGAGGTGCGGCTTCCCATCCCGCGCTGGTGCCCCTCCTAGCGCCAAGGAATCGGGGTCCGGGCGGCGTGCCTCGGCTGGTGGGGCAGGAGCACGGTGGGGGCTGGGGCTTCTCTTCGCTGCTTGCCCGGGGCTCGTGTCCGCTGCAGCCGGAGCGGGAATGGGCGCGCTGGGCTCGGGGTTGGGGCGCAGCGTTCTCGGAATCTCAGCGCAGGGTCCTGGGCCCACCCTGGACATTTTGGAGCGACACGTTAGGCTGGCACCGCCGGAGTACCTCGGCAATAGGATTTTGCTGTGTGTGTCTGTGTGTGTGTGTGTGTGTGTGTGTGTGTGTGTGTGTAGAGGAGGCGCACGGCTTGGGTGGCACCAGATACCGCATGTGGGTAGCTGGGACATCCGAGGCCTCCGCGTCGCTGACGATCCAAAGAATCAACCCCTCTTTCCCCACATCTGACCACTTTTCGCGATCCGGTTTCCCAGCCCTCCTCACCCACCCGGGATCTCTCAGGTTGGGGATTTTTCTTAAGTCGATCCCTCCTGGTGCTCCCATTCCACAGAGGCAGCAGGCGGTTGGAAGCCCGGGCCCCCGAGGTGTGAGCGCAGCCTCATGATCCAATGGACTTATGCTAATTGGTCTTTGAAGTCAGAGGGTTCTGTTTTGGATCTGAGAAGTGTGGATAGACAGCCAACAGTGCTGCCCCATGCTTGGCCTTGCCTGGCCTACAGAGGATTCAGGGTTCCTTGGACTCTGATGTCGTGGGAATCCCCATTCCTGACCTCCCTGTCAGGTAGCAGCTACTTACTGGGAGTTTGTGGGGATCCTGGAGCTGCCTGGGCTGGGTGTGGTCTGGGGCCTCGCCTGTCTTCGGCCACGCCCTCTGCGCCCAGCCCTCTGCTCGCCGCAGCTGCTCCTGGACTGCTCTCGTTCAGCCCGCGGCCAGCGCTGCTCTGTGGGTCGGCCAGCCGAGGGTGGTGGCCTCTGTACTGGCTGTCGGGAGTGGCTTTTTGTTTGAGTGACTTTTTGTAACCAGTTAAGGAAAAACCAAGTCTCTCGTGAAAAGGTCATTTTCAGCAGTATTATTTCAATGACAAATGGCAGGTTGCAGACAGCAAAAGGATCCTAGGCGAGGTAGCATTCCGGCATGTCTGAAAACACTTGTCAGGGCTCCGGGATGCCCTTTCCAGGCTGACTGTGGAAGAGGCCTCGTTTTCAGGGCCACCCCCATTATATGTTGGAAGGAAGGAAAAGTCATTGTAGACTGTTTCAGCAATAATTGAATAATTTCGCAGTGGCCTTGCCTGTTTCTGTTTAGGGAAAAGAATTTAAGTGGAAAGTGAGACTACCTTGCGGTAATCTCCTCAAGACTCATGTCCCTACTTTTCCTCTTCAATGGGCCACAACCTTCCTAGGCTAGCTCCAGGGGCGGAGGAGGGCAAAGTAGAAAGTTAACTAATCCTAGTGATTCAGCCCTACGCTGTGTGCTGTAGAAGAGAGGTGGCAAGATTCATCCAAATCTCTCATTTTCTTCGAAGCTCTCTGATGATTGTCCCTGATTCCTGGACTTGAGACACATCTCCACCTCAGCTTCTGGTTTCCCTGTGGTCGGTCTGAACTCGGCTGTCTCTTGTTGAAAGCTGTTTTTGAAGTTAAATATTGTGATTGTTTGAAGGGTTATGTATGAGTATGTTATGTCACTCTAATTGCTTTTCATTTTTCAAACCAAAGCTTAGATTTTCATCTTGGGTTATGCATCAGATTTTGTAGTTCTCTTTCTTGTCTAATTTAACACATTTTGGTACAAGTGAGCACAAAGTCAATCCTGGGAAGATTCTGTGCCTGGAAGAATTGAAGTGTTACATTTTAGCTGTGGGAGGATGTGTCTGGGGGAGATTGTTGCAAGCAGGTTTTTTTTTTTTTTCACTTTTGCACTTATACAATCCATACTGCATTTTAAATTTAATCCCTTCTTTGATTTAAAACTAAACACTGTGTTTCTTGTTCATTACAATGTGGTGGGAAAACATTCTGAAATAAAGTAGATATTTATTGTTCCTATAGTTATAAAAAAGGATTGGAAATGCTTAAAATATTCTTATATGTCAAAAATTTGATATCTGAATCATCACTAACCTCAGTTATGAAGATTACCTCAGTTGAGTGAAAAAATACATGGTGAATTATACAGTAGTTTAACATTTAAGTGCTGTTAGCTAATTGTTATATTCTTTAAACATTTTTTTTTTTTAATTTGGCTGCAGGGTGTGTATGCTTACCAAAGAGAGACAGAGAGAGATGGAAAGTAAGAAATCACAGTCCCCTCTCCTCCAGTCTCCTCTTGGGATTTTGGCCACATATGTACATGCGCCTGGAGTGTTTTTTAAGCTGCCAGGTTCAGGATTTAAACTGCATAGTAGACCATGTGGGATCCAGCTGCCTTAACCATCATGTGGGATCCAACTGCCTTAATCATCTTGTCACCAGCTGGCCTGGTTATAACTTTATATTGACTGACCTGGATAGAGATCTCTGTTCACCAGGAGGGAGAAATCCTGGGAGATAAAAGAACCCTGGACCTGGACCTGGACCTAGGCCAGGCTGGGATTTCGTGGCCATCATCAAAGAGGGTATTAATAATTATCCAGGATGATTTTTTTTTTTTCTGCCTTCAAGGAGGAATTGATCTTTGGGGAGTGGGGACTAATGGATGGGATGGGTGGTGATGATGCAGGCCAGGTGGATTGTTATCATGCTCAGCCATATACCCTGCAGAGAACTCTCTTGTTTGGACCCTCCGAACTGCTTCCAAGGTGGGGGCTGTTAATCTTCCTTGTCTCCCCTCTTTGTAGAGGAATATTTCTTGTAAATCTGCTTTACTGAGTGGTGTTTCTTTGGAAACTTTCTGTAAATACCCTGGGTTCAGATTAGTGATGAAATGGCCTCTAGGAGAAGCTTGAGGGACTTGCTGGTGGTGTGTGCTTCTAAAGAGTCCTTTAGCTTTGCCTAGGTATAAACCCTGATGATCTGTTTTGTGGGAACTAGCCAGCACTAAGCAGTACCAGCTATGGGACTTCCTCTGCACTGACTTTGCATTAACTCAGCCTCAATAAGCTGATGGTCTAGAGCCCTCTGGGTTTCCAGAGTCCCAGTCCACTGGCTGCAGGTCCTTACGTGGAGCTGCCCTTTGGTGGTAGGTCCTCTGTACCTTGATCACTTCAGTGAGTAAAATGGTACCTTGGGAGTGCAGTGGCAGATGGAGGCAGGTCCCAGGGCAAGGGGTGGGGGGGGCAAAGGCTTGGGTTTGTATCTACATGGCCCCTAATGTGCATAGACAAGGTGCAGCCTGGTGCTCTTTTCAGCACTCCCTGATCGTGGCCAAGGGTGAAGGGTTATAACACAGAAGACAGAGGCTTCTAGAAAGTACAGCCATGCTGCCAGCAAATGCTGAGGCTTGGAGCACTGGGGAGGGGTCTAAATGATGGTGGGTGAGACATGTCATCCTCTCACACCAGGTTCCTGCCTGCCCTGGGGTTCAGACAGGAGTGTGACCTGTCAGCGAGCAGCTACCTGCACATCCTTGACTTCCCGACTCTGCCTCACCTGGGAAAGGAGCCGTTGTCCCCACCCTGCTAGGTTGACGCTCCATGCCAAGCATAGACTCTCTCCTGAGAAAGTGACTTGAGATTTGAACGTTAACTCCTAGCCAGGCTGGTAATCAATTAGTTTTTAGCTGTGACCGGGACCATCCTTGGAGCGGCAAGTTTTCTTCTGCGTGAGCTACTGAAAAGCTGGTGTTCTAGATGCCGCCACGTTGGCCATGCCAGGGCCAACTCTGTCTCCCTCTCTCGGCAGGTGCCTGGCAGAGTGGGCTCAGCCAGTCCTGGGAGGTGTTTGGGGGTGCTGATTCACAGCAGACGTGGCTAACCCCACACACCCGCCTCTGTTGCATAGGGATTCCCGGAATTTGGAAGGCACCAGGGCTTCCCTTCCCTGTGTCCGTCTCTGACAGCCTTTCCCAGAACACCTTTTTCCAGAGGTATCTGCACACTTGGCCACCCTGGTCTCATAGAGAGTGAGCTCAGCTTGAACTTCATTTCCGAGGCTTCGCTGTGGTTTCTGTTTGTGGTTGGGGGCAGCGTGGGGCTTTCTCTGCCTCACCCTGTACCAGAGGCTTTTATTTGCTGGGCGAAGAGAG